TCTCTCTCTCTCTCTCTCCATGTCTTTTTTCTCTTTCTATCTATCTATCTATCTATCTATCTATCTATCTATCTTTGTCTGTCTGTCTGTCTGTCTGTCTGTCTGTCTGTCTGTCTGTCTGTCTGTCTTTTGTATGTCTGTCTGTCTGTCTGTAATTTAGGTTACTCCCATCACCAATAGGACTTAAAAATGGGGGTGGAGATCTGTGAAAACTTGCCGAACAAGTTCCAAGTTTTTGGCTCTCCACTGTTGCACTCAAAAGAAACGTTATTGATTGCCGCCGTTTCTTTTTTTTTAATGCAGAGAGGCAGTGCTCTCAGTCCATCTTGGCTTTGAACTAAACTGTGTTGTGAATTATCTAAGTAATGTCGATTATACTCGTATTATCGATCAATCATTTGATCAAACTATTAGTCCGTGGGTGGTTGGCGGGTCCTCGGGTGTGGTTTGCTCCTTCTTTCCTATCAAACATCTCTCGTCCTGATCTTTTCTCCTTGTTTGTGTTTGTTACTCTCTCTCTCTCTCTCTCTCTCTCTCTCTCTCTCTCCAAGCTGGCTTGATTTTTCAAATAATTTCCCTCCCTCTGGTGCAATTTCTCGTTACTGCATGCTTCCTGCATCCAGCTTTCAATCTTCAATGGTTAAAACTTGAGGACCTTTACCAACTTGAGTACACATTGGATCCATAGTGCCGGTCGGAAACACGTTTCCCAAATGATCTAAATGTGTTGATATGGGTTCAATGACACTTACACTCAAAAAGAAGATAAAAAGAAGACGTGTAGCTGCTAACGAGCTATCACTGGTTCAATAATCCAACTTGTAAAGATAATACATGTATGTATACCAAAGAATAATGATGATTATTATACTCGCCGAAATTATCCTGTACGGGTGTGATTATGGACTACATTATAATATGGTGCAAGTGTTCGTTTTCTTCCTGTCTGTCATTCAAGAGGATAACAAGCTTGTCTTTCCTTTTCCTTAAAGAATAATTTTATTACTCTGGGCTTTTCTCGTGTTTTTCCCAGTCATGTTGGTGCCCTGTTTGCTCCCATGGTTCCACTGTAGTTATGAATCCCTAAACATGATTATCCGTTATCTATATTCTTCTGACTATACTGGTATTAGATTCAGATTCTTCTGTATTAACGTTTTGAATTGATGATTCTAGTATGTTTTCGGTATAGTGTGGGTCAACTGCCCCTTTTAGCAGTGTAAGGTTTGTTTACTCAAGACAATCAAACACTCATCTGCAATAGATAAGATCAAGCCTCAAGTTTGCAGACTTGTGAGAATGTAACATCTGACGGCTTCAGGATGGCGAAACGTTTATGGCGTACCTCTATGATTCCTGTTGCAGCAATCCAGCGACTGCAAGCATCAATTCTCATTCTTTCATTGACCTAAATCAGTGTCTCTCTCTCGACCCCGATATCGACCTCAGCTTCCTCCTGAATGTCATTATTTCTCAACCCCTGTAGTGCCAGGTCTCTCAGCAGTCCTGATTCTAAAGCGGAGTGTCCATTGCGAACCGCATCGGGACGGGCCAGGTCGTGATTAATGATAAGAATAGAAAAACCTTGACCGTTTACAACACATTCATATTCTTCCATAACGACGTCAATTAAAGTAGCAACTGCCGAGTATCGCGATTGCTGTGTTGAGAGGTTCTAGAAAACTACTGCATGAGAAATGTCGATAATGTTCTAGATCTATTAGCATTAGCCTCTCTACATCTCAGAAATTACAGACTTTGATTTATCCTTTAACAAAACAATGTTATTGTCCACATGATTTTTTTTTGGGTCAATTTGCTATCGATTGTGAGACCAAGATAATTGTGATGAATGCGTGGTTGTAATTGTTTCTTGTTCAATTATAGGAAGTCGGATTGTTTGTTTACCTCTTCTGAAATAATTGTTTTAAAAAATTCCTGCGTATTTGAGAGCTTCACGTTTAGAATCTTCTATTAACTCTTTGTGGTGGCCGAATTTTGCTATTCAAAAGGCTTTTTAACGGCTGCATCGATCGACATGCGGTTTTTGCCCTTCGTTTTTTTTCAGTTTTGAGACAGTTTTGTTGCAAAAAGCTAATGTCGCTTTTGTAGGCCCGACGCTTCTGTCATTTTAGAAAACCCGGAAGTGATATTTCGCGAGGCCCATTTTGTTTTGAGAGTATAGATCTCTAGACCTTCTAATTTCTTGCATCTCTCAAGATTTATTGCCCCATTCCAGTAGAGTGTAAATATAGTAGGCCAATTATTTTTAGTAGTTTTAGTTGATTTTAAAGCACCGATCATTCCTTTCATCGAAAGGGGGCCCAGCTAGAGTTTTTTTAAGTTTAAAAAAACATACCGTACATATTTCTTCAAGTACTCTTTTTCATCTAGACTTAATAGACCAAAAAGTGGAATCATCTGCGAATGTGAATCAATAATGGATGGATGGATGGATGGATAATAGACTCGTATAGTTACCCATTACAATAACAAGTGAACACCGGAGGTCATAATGATGGATTTGAAGTATCAGGACACGGAAAGCGCCAAGCCCCTCATCGCTGATAAAGTTTGGGGTTGATCCTCTGTCACGGAGTGAGAGAGGGGGGTTTGGCGTGGGTTGGGTTGCAGCTGAAGGAGGCGATTGGCGCTAGGGAACAGGCCGCGCCTTGCAAGGCTGACTGGGCCTATGCATGCCTGGAGAACGTGCGCACTCGTAAAGGATTTCTGGGTCACATATAATATGTCCTTCAGACTTGGACGGCGACTTATGACCTGCTGCTCCGCTGTGTGACTTGCGCATTTCACATTTCTTGTTCTGTTGGAGGGGGAGGGGGCTATTTTTCTGTGTCCGTGTTTTGTTTTTGTTTTTTGGTGTGGG